AAAGGGGATGTCCATGAATTAAGTCACGGTTGAGGTGGATGGAGAAATAAGAGGCTAATTTCCGCCATATGTTGAAAGGGGGTGTCAGATGTGAAGAGAGGGTCTGACAAACTGGGATTTTTGCGTGACATAATTTATGAACGTTCCCTAGTATTTGCAGTTACGGCAGAAACCATAGTTTTCCAGAGGTGACACTATCTACATACGTTCAATTATCAAGGTTAAATCAAAAGATCAATATGGATTGTAAGGTATTATTGTTACAAGTTGCAAATAAACGGTTTCTTATTTATAAAGTAATACTTATCAGAAATATATTTAGGTATAAGAAATATTTGGAGTTCATATAAAATTTATATATACATTGGGAAATTTGTCCCAAAATAGTATTCATTTTAGTGTAATAATTAATTCGTAGATTTTTATTTCATTTCAGGATAATTTTGTAAATTAGTGTAATTTAACCCAGAATCAGTTGCCACGGAAGCGTGGGGACAGACAGAGGAACAATGTCACTAGGGTTATTCTATGTGCTTCTAATAAGCCCCTCCCTATTCAAGGGTAATGTCCCCACCGCATCTGCGACCACTGGCCAGATTACATCTATTCATAAATAGGATACAATAATATATTTGCTCTGTTTCATGAAGTTGTAACGAAAGTGGAATAATTAGTAAATATTTTTGTGCATATGTTATTAAATGTGTATCTAAGATGGCCAAAATAAATAATTTGCACTGTTTAACGTATTTGTTGCCAAGTTGAAATATGTTTGTAATTAGTATTACGCAAAACTAAAAGTGCATTAATTCAAATCAAGTATAAAAATGGAAATAATGACCTGAGTTTATCATGAGAAACCAAGACGAGTTACATTTACGGAATTTTTTAAATGGAGATAGTTTGATGTATAATTTTAATTTTAACCAAATTTCTGCAGTTATCTTGTTCCATCGACTCGTCCTACATAATCAAATCGCTTACGGACGACTCCACCCCAATTGAATCAATCTTAAACTTGGACACTCGAATGTTATTTGATTCCATGAAACGTATGAAATTTTCCCGAGTTCCTTCGCCAAACTGGAACAAACAATCAGCAGAAATGCATATGCATATTGTAGCAGGTAAATAATTATTATAATTATAAAGGGTCTTAATTCAATTCGTCCCGACTTTTTCTAAATATTTGAAACCTTATTATGGCGAATGTTATAATGACCATGATTAGTACTTGTCTTCATTTTACGCATTATAAAATTTCAAAGAAAATTAGTAACGTGGTTGAACGTTAAGACTAAATGTGGTTTTAGCCCAGAAAGGCATCATCGGGACAAATTAAATCAACACCCTTTAGAAACTGCATTATTAATACGAGTACTCGCGCCAACTCATCACACTCACCTCCTCTCGAGAGTGATCTTCCCACGTGTTCACCTCCAACTCCTCCAAGTTCGGAAATGCTGTCTTCAATCCCTTCAAAAGTTTGGGATCATGCATCCCGAAAACCCCCAAAGTCTTCACGTTTTCCCAAATCATTTTCTTTTCATACATAACTTTTAAAATTTCTTCGACACGTCTCGATCCCGCAAATATCGTGCCAATTCTGAGCGATTTCAGCGCAGGCAGTCCTTCAATGTCTTCCAGGGGATCGTCCTGAAAAATGTCGATCATCTCGTTCTGGAAGTTTTTCAGTTTCAACATATATCCTGGTAAACTAAATCTGGTTGGATTCGAATTTTTGAAGTTAATCTTGCGTTGATGTCCAAAATCTTGGAAGCGCTCAAACCGTAAGGTGACAAGTTGGTCCGCAACCGGCGCCAACATTCGGGAGAGTTCGGCGGGATTAAAATCTGCCATGGCGTCGTCCATGGGGCGGCGTAAATTCAGCGAAATTGACAAGGAATCTAGAAACTTCGAATTTCCAAAATCTGCACAGAATCCCCACGGGATTGTGACCTTTTTCAAGTTTGGCGCGGCATGGACAACCAGCTGAATCAGCGTGGTAAGCAAGGGGGTCACCCCCTTCTCACAAACGACCTTGAACAAGGTCATATTTGGTCTTGGCAGTAACGGCGCTGGTAAAATTGCACCGCTGCGGTCAGATTCAACCTCGCCGAGGTAATCCGTAATTTCTAAGCGCTGCAATTTGGGACAGCGCTTCTTCAAAATTTCAAAAATTACGTGTAAACAGTCTTCGAATTGGATGGAAATTTCTAAGAATTCGATCCGGTCGCTAAATTTGTCGCAAATGTATATCATCCTGTAAGCAAAGGAATTAATGAGGTGAGAAGGGTCCTCTCCGGGAAGTGCTGAGCACGTGACGTAAATCCGTTTCGCGAGTAGGTAATAGGATCGGTGGCACATTTCAAAAAAATTGAGCACAGAATTTTGACCGATCGCACTGTCGCGCAAGGCTATCGCGAGTCTCGTATTTGGAAGGCAAAGCACCATATCGTCCTAGAATTGGGAAACTAGTCGACAACTTTTCAACGCAGTGCAGGGCTGTTTTAATATTGCTGTCAAAATCTGGAAAAGTGAATATCAATTTTTTAAGTTAATGCAGTTGGAACATTCCAGAAGGACCTCTCCGATATGGGCCTTAATTAATAGAAAACGGATTTTTGGGGAAAGGTGAGATTTCTGAGGTAGGGTGAGGTTTTTGAGTTATGATGAGATTTCTGAGGCACGATGAGAATCTCACCGTGCCTCAACAATTCCCTAATATCCATAAAAAACTCATTTTGAGGAAATTCTAGAAATATCTATAAAAAAATTCCGTTTTTGGGGAAGTGAGACAAATTCATAAAATTCTCTGAAACGTCGAAAAATCTAAAAAAAATACCTAAGCTTTTTTGTCACCTTAATAAATATGTATACTTTTGCCGGTCAAAGAATTTATATTGTACATATTCCTGATCATCATCAAAAACCCGACATTTTGGAGTATCACATTCCCCATCGGAAAGGGGTTCTTCTGGTTAAATTAAGCCATAAAATTATTTGACTTACAAGTGGATTACTTAGGGCGACCTCTTGCGAACTTCTTTTTCTTCGGGATTCCATTCTTCGCCAGAGTTATGTAAATAAATAGTTGGACAGACAACTGACCAATATTTACCTATTGAGTAATATGTATGTAATTGTAACACACTTTAACATCATAATCCAACACTAATTTTCGAATTTGCAAGGGCTGTACATGTTTAAAAATGTGGGATGAATGAACCAATTTTTCACAAATAAAGAGTTACCACGGGGGGGAGGGGGGTGAGGGTGAGAGCGTTAATTTGGATCCAAGCTGAATCCTGAATCTAAATACTTTGAAATGTTCATTACTCAAAATTTAAATATTTTCGTTACATCATAATTACATACAATTTTACAAATTTCGGAAATATTACACATGTCTAATGAGGTTTTGTAACCACTTACACCTTACCTTTCCTGTGACGATGATGGATACCCAGATTTACTTTATTTTATTGAAATAACTGCAAATGAAGATATAAAATTTGCATTTAAATTAGAATACTGCCCACTATTCGCTGGCACGGCGCACGTTTTGACTAAATCAAAATCCCGGAGAAGATTGGAATCCAATTTACACATGCATACGCACATTGGAGCATACATAAAATACGTGGTCGATTTTGAGGAGGGTGCATCGGTCGGTACATGTGTAGAGGAATCTAGTCAAATCATGCTAGAAATTATGTAAATTTTATATATACATATATGTACATATGTATGCAATGTTAGCATTTAGGTAACAATTTGCAATGCAATGTTAAATACATGAATTGGTGCAATTTCAAAATCATTCCATTTGTAGGTGACATGTTTGACCGAGTATCAACATAGCCATGCTAAACTCTGCCGGCTGGTGCTGGCTGTCGGACACAGTTAGGAACGTGTAGATATGTATGTATGTGCATATTTTCCTTCTTTTCGTAAGAGGACACCACACGCACAATTTGCTTCTTGAGTGCGGTGCGGATATGTACTATCCTCGTATGTATTTAGGCGTGTCACCTCATTTGCATAAATCTCATTATGCCCATTTTCGGCGATGTGGGCTTTCCATGTGGAATAAACTATATCTCTCGTGATTCGCGAATGCGTCAAAATATGCGAAAGAGGTGACCGCCTATAAAAATTCAACAATACATGTCGTGTCTCCTTTCGCACGAATACGCCACTGCACTTCTGAAGTTTTATTCATACTCTAAATCCACGTAGGATTGAAGTTTTACAGATAAGAGAATTCTGAGAACTACGCCACTGCCAGTCTCAGAGTTCCTCGTCAACATGATTTGAATGAATTTGAGACTGGCAGTGGTGTAGTTTCTCAGAATTCTGAATTTCTGAAAAAGTTCAATCCTGCCTGGATTTAGAGTATTTCCTGCCGGCCATGTAGGAATAGATACAGAATTATTTATTTCTGTCGCCATAAGCAGCCCGTGTTAAACCTATCTACCTTTTGAGTAACAATAAATCGTTGCAAAGGAAATGTAGCAAAGCGGTGAAGCCACACGAGGTGGTCATCGCACGTCAAAATACTGTGGATTATCAACTTACAAAGCCACCTTCGAAACTAATTCGTACTTCAAAGGGGTGAAAACACACATCAGGTAAAGAATAGCCAGTTGGAAGTTGAAACACAAATCCTGAGACAAAATTCAAGTGAAAGTTATTCATTGCGTTTTTAAGCATACTTTTTCCAAATATTTATGACCTTTTGTCCCAAATTTGATTAATTAAGCTGATGACGATGCAAAGACAACAACGAAAATATCAACGGAAAAGTATGTTATGTTAACTAATTTAAAGTACTTATCGATGAAAGCCAGAACCCTTGAGTACAATTTTAAAAACATTAAATATATTCTTAAATTTCTTTACGATAAGGACACATCTACATATTTGAGCAAAGTCACAATTTCTAAAATTATGAAAATACGCACGACTACTATTTGAGTTTTTACGATAATTTGTCGTTTTTCCAAAATCTTTAATGTGGCAATTATTGATTTATTATTATGAACTCCTAAAAACATGTAACATAATCGTTTTTAAATTATGTTAATAATCTCATAATCTCCAACTATCAGTAACGCCGAAGCATCGCTAACGCCATTTTGTTGAGGGCTTCCTGTCCCATCCACTCGATCAGGTCGGGAAGTGATGACTTCGTTAGGTTCAGACGGACTCGATTGTCCAGAATAAATTTGAGCACCTTCCCCTCCAAATTCTGAAATATGTACAAAGTCCAAAATTAAGCACGGAATTGGTACAACAATAAGATAACGTATGTAATGTATTTAATACCAGAGCATTGGCGGAGGCAGCGTTTCGAACGAGGAAAAAAGCATTTTCCGTGTTAATCCCGCGCATCAAAATCTTCTCACAGTCTCGCGCAATGTTCGTGGCGCAATAAGAGTCCGCTAACTTCATGAGGTCTTCAGAAATAAATTAGTTGGGGTAAAAGTTAACAGTAAGATGATTCAAAAAACGCGTATATTAGGAAGAATCTTGCCCATGTCAAGCAGATATGTCAAATCAAGATTTTTTGAAAATAAATTTCCGAGGAACTGACAAATATGGAACATTACAATTTGTAATTTACAAATTCACATTGTCAAAAACGTCAAATTTGTTTAATATTTAAATGCTGCACAAATTTGACATTTTTGGCATATTGATAATTGACATGATGTCAATATATAAATGACATGACGGTACATTCACTCCGATTTCAATGACATCTTACCAAAAATGCTTTCGTACTTGTACTCCGAAAAAGTGACCTTGTCGTGGTACAGGTAGAAGAGGAATGCTTCGAATGTGACGAATTTTGTGTCCTTGATCTCAATCTTGCTGTAAAATCTGTACGTATGTAAATCAATCATTTAAAAAAACACGCATTTTTTAAGTACTCACGATCCTGCAGTTTCGGTCCACTCGTTGCTAAACATTTTCGCAAAATAATCACTTCTCGATTTCAGTATCAATTTGTGCGCCGTGATGGTTTTCCCCTCCACGGAAAAGGTCACGTCGACATCGTCCTGCAAAAAAGTGAATGAAACGTTACCAACTTTTTGAAATTTTCCATCCCCAATAATTTTAAATAAAAAAACCTTGGTTTTCCACAAGTTGGAAATTTCCCGACCCAACGTGCCCTTCTGGACGGGTCTCATTCGACTTGGCATCCCAATCGTGCGGTAACTTTTTTGGTAAAGTTCGGCAAAATATTCGTCCAAGGAACGACATTTTAAAGATGTCATCAGCAACATATCCGACTCCCCGGCGAGACGGGTTCCATTCTTAAACTCGATAACCAAAACGTCCTCCCAAAAGGCTGCGATGTCCTGGATGTTTGTCAACTTTGGGTACGACGGCCATACTGGATTCCCTTCAGATACCGTGTCGCAAACGTGCATCGTTTCTTCCTCAGTTAATGCGTAAATGTGCGTCTTTGTCGCGGCTATCTGTATGCAAAATTAAAAAATATTACAGTGACACCCGATGGCAAACTTACATAATTAGTATGAAATTTGCAAATGAAACGATCTTAAAATGCGCAGATTTTTGCATCCGAAGAGGAGAAAACAGGCATGAAAGTCAACAAATTTTCCAAATTTACTGCGCATTTTCATGCAAATAAATATCTCGGCCAAACCTGCATATTGGAGATCGTTTCATTTGCAAATTTCATAGTAATGCATTTTTTTTCAAATTTTGGACTAATTAAATTTTTTGCAAATTAACTTATAACTGAATTTTATACCTTTTTAACCGGTGTGCCGCGCATGCCAGATACTGATACCGCATCTGTATCATACTTCCACTGAAATATCTGCATATACATTTTAAAATTTCATGGTTGAAATAATTTCAAAATCATTTTCCAAATATCAATTTCCCTTAAACTAAACCTTATTACCTCTCCATCCTCACTTAACGCGAAGGTCATCCCGTCAAACCCGCACACGACGGAGATAAGCTCCTTGTTATCAAATTTTGCGTTTTTTGGGATCAAATTGGGTGAGTCCCAGTTGTCCGTACACGCCCCCCACTGGTAAATATCTCCCCCTGCGGTTAACGCCACGACTCGACCTTCTGCTAGGGCCACTTGCACTACTTTTTCCTCCTTCGTATGCATCACCACTTCCGGGCGACCAATCGAACTTGTCGGATTTACGGAGGGGCGACCCAGCTGGACGTAAATACTGAGATCGTTTTCTCGCAGGGTCGTGTGGGTGAAATTATTCCACCACGAGAAGAGTCGTCCGTCCTCCGTTATCGCGAGGCTTATCGGTCCAGTCACAAATTCTAAAAAATAGGACAGGAGTTATTTTACACGATTTTTTAAATTAATGGACAACATTCCTCAGCAAAATCGTCAACACCAACACATTTTGTTAATTTGACAGGCCTGGAAATTTATTTTCAAATTCTGGATGGCAAATTTGTTGTCAGATTAATAGAAATTTGATGAGTTCCTATTAATCAAGATAAGCAAGTTTCAAGTTTTATGAGGGCTTCGTAAACTTGCGATTTCCTCATTCAAAAAGTGTCAAAGTCTGGAGTGCACATATTTTTTTAATTGGCAACCACCTGTTCTACAAATTTGTCGACCAGAAGTATAAAATAAACTCCCAGAGCGAATAAATAATTAAAAATGTACCGATTTTTTGTAATTTTTTACCTTCCACCTGGACGTGACAAAGTTCTGGAATTTTTGTGATTTTGCACCCACCATCGTCTTCACGGAGGAAGGTGTACGTTTCGTCCGACGAGGTGACAACGAAGGCTTCCTTTTCGTTAGCGACATGTGCCAATTTCGCCACCTTTAAAATTTCTTCTCCTTCGAATCCCACGTCGCGAAATATTTTCCAAATTTTCAACTTTTCTGAAGGAATGGTGACAGGGGACAGCTCCATATTAGTGGAATATCACTTATCAAACGATAAGAATGAAGATGAAAGTTAACGACGAGAAAACAATTAATTCCTAAGCATCAGCGAAAACAAGGCGGACAGATCAGCAGGAAATTGTAATCGAGCCGGGCGGCTGCGAACTCTATGCCAATTCGAGTTGGAGAAAGTGAGACAAAAAATGCTGAGAAATAATTAAAATTATAATTAAATCGAGTTTTACATGAATCATGAGGGACCGTGCATAAATTATGTAACGCGAGCGAAGTTGTTTGATGGTCAACCATATATTTCCTGCAACTTTTTATTTTAGCACGATCCTGCTATTGTTTCCAGTGACGAAATTATATAAATAAATAATGTAATATTGAATTGAATGTATGACCAAATAACTTTTCAGAAAAATTATTGGACTTTTCTGACTAGTAATTAGGCTCATATTAATTGAATTAATGATCTCAAATTATAAGGAGAAACCTGGACGAGTAAGATAATGTTTTTTTAATAGACACAGTAATTATTCCAAGGCAATTTTTGCATATATGCATGCTGAACTTTTAGGTTTAAACTAACTTAATATTTTAGAACGAAATAGTTTAAAATTTAGTAAACGTGAGTCTCTGGGGGTCGTCTTTTGTCGAGTCTCACTTCATAATTTAATCTCAGACAGGGTCAGTCCATCTTGAAACATCTTAAACTTTGACACGTACATTTTGCTTGATTCCAGGAAATGTAGTATATTTCTCAGAGTTTCTTTACCAAACTAGAAACAAACATGAAATCGGGAAAAATGTGTAAAGATTTAGAGATAAGTAAGTAATATAAATTAAATAAGTTTACATTACAGGATTTACAGAGATAACTCACATAAAGATCATGAATGCTGACCAGGTCCACTTCATCCAACGCGATGAGCAATTGCTTAAACAGATCGAGTTCATTTTCGGCCAAGTTGTGTATCCTAGGATTTTCACACTCCATCATGCCAATTTCCAGAGTTTTCAGTCCTAAAAAAATGTCACAAAAAAATAGTACATTTTAGATTTTCTAAAACCAAGGCAAATATTATTTTACGCAATCTTTTGTAAATTTTGAAACCTAACGTTTTTACCTACAAACATTTCCCTAGTGTCCACCAGGACCTGAATGGTATCCTTAATTTGGTCCGGATAAGATGGCAGTTCGATATACAAATGTTTCGGGGCCCCCCAACCCCCACCGCAAGCGTTCAGCACGACGCCCAACTCCATCCCACTCTCGTCCCAGCGGGTGTCCATTTCTTCACACGTGATCACCTCTAATTTCACCAAATTCGGAAATGCTGTCTTCAATTCCTCCAAAAGGCTCGGATCATGCGTCTCCCAAATCTCCAAATGCGTAATGTTCCCCAAAACCATATTCCTTTCGCACATAATCTCTAAAATTTCTTCGACACATCTGGACTTCTTAAATATCGTTCCAATTACAAGCGACTGAGAGCAGGCAGTCCTTCGAGGTCTTGTAGGAGATCGTCGCGATAAATGTCGATCATCTGGATCTCGAAGGCTTCCAGTTTCGACATATTTCTAGGCAAACGGAATCTGCTCGGGAAATCAAACTTGTTTGGGGTATTGTACGTGCAGGAATTCTGAAACCTTAAGGTGACGAGCTGGTCAGCGACCTGACCCAACATTCGGGAGAGTTCTGTCGGATTAAATTCTGTCAGAACGACGTCCAACTTCCGATTTTCGTCCAGTGAGGTGGTCAAGGAATCGAGAAATTTTAAATTTCCGAAATCTGGATAGATTCCCCACGGAATTGTGACCTTCTTCAAATTTGGCGAGGCATTTACGACCAGTTGAATCAGACTGATGAGCGACGGGGTCACCGCTTCGGTAGCGTAGGCTTCAAACAGGGTCAAATTTGGTTTTGGAAGCAACACAGCTGGAGAAATTTCTCCAGTGGCTACGTCGTCATACTCGCAGAAGTCGTGACAAATTCGTAACTGTTTCAAATTGGGACAACAATTTTTCAAAACTTGAAAAATAGCTGGGAAACAGTCTTTGAACTCGAAGATAATTTCTAAAATTTCGATTCGGTCGGTAAACTTGTCACAAATTTTCATAATCCTGTAGCCGAAGAAATCAGTGAGGTAAGAGAAGTAGGGGACGTCAACAAGATCGCAACACGTGGCGCTAATCCGTTTCACGAGTCGGTCATCGGATGGGAAGCACATGGGGAAAAAGCGGAGCGCGTTGTTTTGACTGTTAGTCATGTAGTCCAGATCTAGCGCGAGTCTCGGATTTGGAAGGGAAAGGACCGTTTCGTTCCAGAAATGAGAAACTAGTCGACAAACTTTCAACGGGGCGGAGGCCTGTTTTAGGATAGCTGTCAAAATCTGGAGAAGTCAGAATCCACCCACCACTAAATTTAAAATTTGAAATTAAGTATTTTATAATAGTTAACGGAACCAATTTTTGGCCGGGAATTATCCTTAGGGGTGGCGTTATGTTAAATTAGTGGCGGATGTCTTATTCTGAGTCAAAAGATTTTGAAATTTACATTAATTTAGGATTCACTAACTTTACTTTAATTAGTACAACTTTAATTGATGTAATTTCATTTCGACTTACCTTTCCCTTTGAAGTTGATGATTACTGTTCAGCCGATATTAATAGTATCAATTCCTTGGAAATTTTTCGAAAGGTTATTTATCTTTTTCAGAATATTATAAAATATCTGCCAGGAAACCTCTCAGATTTTTTTCAGACTATTAATATTGGCTGAACAGTAGTCAGGTTTATTTTATTTTATTAATTGCAAATGAAGTTGTAAAACTATTGTGCAAATCCAAAATAAAATAGGGAGATTTTTATTTGTTATTAAAGAGAGCAGCTCATATGTTGACTGAAACAAGCCAAATTAAAAAATCCCGGGGCTACGGTTGACGCAAACTCACGCGAGGGCTTGCACAAATTGCGTGGTCTTATTTAAACGAGTGCAATATTGCGGTGCATCGAAGTCAACCGGATGGATTTGATTTGAATTTCGGCCCGCCTCCAATGTTAATCAAATGGGCACATGATTTTGGCGCGTAGAAATTCTTCGATTCACCGCAATAGTGGACTTAAATCAAGACAGAAAATTTGTTGATTTCCAAATTAAAAATGTGTTTGGTACCAATTTGCCGTGCATGTTTGTCTTGATTTAAGCCCACCGATGCACCCTCGTTAAAATAAGACCACGTAATTTGTGCAAGCCCTTGCGTGAGTTTGCGTCAACCGTAGCCCCGGGATTTTTGAATTTGGCTTCTTTCAGTCAACATATGTGCTGCGCTCTCTTTAATAGAAATCTCACTATTTTATTTTGCATTTACAAAAAATTTACGTTTTTAATTACAACTAATAAAATAAAATAAAATAAAGCTAAATATTCATCAAGTTCAAAGGTCAAAGGTAAGTCGAAATGAAATTAGAGTTAATGAATTTTGAATGAATGCAAATTTCTAAATCTTTGATTTAGAATAAGAGCCTTATTATAAAACGTCTTCCACTAATTTGGATCTATACAACGCTCCCCCCCATGGTAATTCCACTGACCAAAATGGGTTCCGTTAACTATAAAATTAAAATTAAGATTAAAATTAAAATTAAGAAATTTAAAATTTGAAATAAAATATTTCAAATTTTAAATTTCAAATTTAATGGTAGAGTGGATTCTGGTTAAACTATCTTATTGTTACTCAACAGGTAAATATTGGTCATTCGTTTCTCCTAAAATTACCTTACCTCTAAAAAAAATGGAATCACGAGGGGAACGAAATGTGCAAGTCGCCCTAAGTAATCCAATTGTAAGCCAAATATATAAGTATACAATTTTAGAAATAAAGTATTAAAAATACAATTAAAATAACTTACCAAATTGACATTCACTATTCCAGATTTTGACAGCAATACTAAAACAGGCCTCCGCCCCGTTGAAAACTTGTCGACTAGTTTCTCATTTCTGGAATGAAATCGTCCTGTCCCTGAAAAATACGAAACTCGCACTAAATCTGGAGTATAAAATGAACAGTGAAAACAACGCGCTTCCCTTTTTCGAAATGTGCTACCCATCCGATGATCGAATCGCGAAACGGATCAGCGCCACGTGTTGCACCTATTGGGACCGATTTGAGCCCCCTCACCAGACTAACTTATTTTCCTACAGGATTATGCATATTGGCGACAAATTTAGCCACCAGATCCAAATTTTGCATATTTGCATCGACTTTGAAGACTGTTTACATGCGGTGTTTCAGATTTTGAAAAATTTCTGCCCTAATTTGAAACAGTTAAAAATCACTATCAATAATGATTATGATGACAACCTCGCCGGACCAATTTTGCCAGCGGCGTTGCTTCCAAAACCAAATTTGACCCTGGTCGAAGTCTACGCCCTGTCAGTGGTGACCCCGTCGCTCACCAGTCTTATTCAACTGGTCGTCAATGCCTCGCCAAATCTGAGGAAAGTCTTAATTCCGTGGGGAATTTATCCAGATTTTGTAAATTTAAAATCTCTCGGATCCTTGACCACCTCACTGGATAATCGGGAGATGGACGCCGCTCAGATAGAAGTTAATCCGACAGAACTCTCCCCAATGCTGGGTCAGGTGGCTGATCAACTCGTCTCCTTGTCGTTCGAGGTTAGGAATCATTACGGAAGACAAGCCAGGTTTGATTTCGAAAATTTTAACTCAACCAGATTCCGTTTGCCGAGAAATATGTCGAAGCTCAAAACCTTCGAGAACGACATGATCGACATTAGTAGGTATCTATCTGCAATTATTTGCCGCTTTTCCTCTGACATGTCAAAGGTTACAGCGACTGTGGGGGTGGTTTGATAAGTGGTTTGATAAGTTGTGGCGGAGCGGAGGGATGAGAGGATGCGTGAGTTGTTGTTGGTGGTGGTGGTGGTGGAAGGGAGAGAAGGAGCGAGAGCGAGTGAGAATGAAAACCCGGGTCAGCTGAGTGTGGATATACGCATAAAGTGTTCTTACGTGTCCAGGGTTGGGAAGTTTATTCTTCTGTGGTTAAACGGAGGTCGATGGAAGACGGTGGACGGTCGATAAAAAATTTACACGATCCACCCGCCGTCTTCCACTGACCCCCTAGCCACAGTCTGCTTTGCTTTGAAAGATGAAGATGCCCTCTTTGATTTGATGTTGGTGGCTAGGAGGCGAGGGCTGAGCAAAGCAGACGGGAGTTACGCGCCGCCCATCTCTTGTTAGCTGTAAAGCAACAAGAGATTAGTAATTTTTTCGAAGAAAAAACTCAGCTTTTTTGAGAGAAAGCTGAACAATAAACTTACATTTAGCTTAGAGATGTCGGGTCATATCTCGAATCCTGGGTTTGAGACGGCGTTGGAGATGGAAGATCATTGCCGATAGAATAACGACAACGACGAAGATAGGAATTGACCACCAATCTATAACAACAGAACTGTGGGGCTGTTAGTACATATTTGATTTGACAAGAGTTGAGCGCCGAGCTTACCATGAAGGACTGTTGTCACTAGCTGATCTCGCGTAGAAGAGAGAACGATTGAGAAGTTCGCTACATTCTTCGCCTTTACAGGCGTGGTCGATGACAATTCCGGTTTGTTCATAGTTTGAGCAGGCATAGTTGTTTGATAGATTTGTATAGAATAGTTTTAGAAATATGGAAGAGTTTCCTGTACATTCTATACAATAATCGGCGAAAGACCGATTTGAGCAAGTGGCAGTTGCAAAAAGTATGAATAGTAGAAGAGCCATTTTTACAGATTGTTTATACATCTTGGACAGCAGCTCAGAGAATTTAATGAACTGGGTTTAATTATTTTTTTGTAGTGTTTTAGAATTGATATATCGTTCTGTACAAGGTTGTTTGAATATTTCGATTGGAATTGTCGTGTTGTTAAGCCACGGGATTGAGCATGTAGCCAGGCTATCACCCAAATTCCGCAGTTGCTAGTAGATGAGCTTTGCAAAGTTTTAGAACTGGTTTCGATTATTTTAAATGTCGGTTTGAATAAATATTTTTCAGGTAAATTATTATAAGAATCAAAAAATCTAGCCACGATTTGGCCGTTGTGCCTGAACACGTTGAAACCACACCAGTGAATACCTGGCCCCGTACTTATATCAGTATTTATAACTATTGCTACTGGCAGTAAAGATAGGTTGACAAATTTAAGCTCGTCTCTTGCTATTACATAAATTTTTTTAAACTTTGAGTAACGAAGTAAATAACTTAGACAGCATGTAATTTGGTCAGAGTCCATATTATATAAGTGAAACGATGTAATGGGAGTCAATTTCAAGGGTTGATTGAAATTGACCAACAACTATACAGGTGACGGCCTCCGTGAGGCTTTTTGCAAATTTGAGGGAAATTTGAACGCTGCCGTGTCGCTCTGGTACTAAGCCGTATGCGGTGGGGCTTGGATTAATACTAAAGCATACCAAAAAGTTCCCATTAGCGTAATCTGTTCGGCTTAATCCGTGGTCGGCACCGAGTGTTCCGACAGCTGATTGTAAAGTATTAAATCCCATCAAGTAGAGTTTTTTATCAAAGTCAAAATTCAAGCTCTGGTAAACTTGGGCGTCTCCGTCTACTTTGACTTGAAGTTCAGAAATACCGAATGGGTCAAAATTGAAGCACGATTTGTTTTGAGTTCCTAGCGCTGCCTGAGTGCTCACAAAAGAAACAAGTAGATATTCTGGGAGTAGGTTTCTATAGAGAACTTCTCACAGTGTGGAGCTAGTGCCAACAGCTAGATTGAAAGTACGAATTTCAAATTGTTTTAGCGGATACTGGAATTTACGGTTACTTGACAGGAGTTTATGATGGTAGGCAATCACTGAGGGATGAACAACGTGTCTACGGACATATAGAACACACTCAGAGATGGACAACTTATATTTTGTGGTCGTCACGGAGGTGTCGAGACAAAATTCAGACGCGCTTCTCCGAAGTAATATCTTGGTATTGATTTGGGGTGGGAAATATTTTGGCGTTTCAAAGATACTTTCGCTAAGTCGACCAAGAATTTCAAAGGGAGCCGACGCAGTCGAGAATGCAGCCCTGGTCGTGAAAACAGAGTTGTCAGTGTCAAAGGTGTTTGCTTTGGTATCGGGATACCAAAACTCAGAAGTTGCGATAGTATCTTTGTAGCCCTTGTCTCTTGTTAATAATTTAAGAATGTGCGAACGGTAGGGCAGTAGAGTCGCGGTTTTTGACACCAAGCAGCCGTCAATTTCGATGCCAGAAAAAATTGAACTGAGTAAATCAAAGCTTCCGGCGACAACATCAGTGGCGGTCAACGTTGCGCCGGTTGAACTAACTATTTTTAACTTTAAATAAACAAATGAGTCGTTAAACTGTACATAGTGAATCGAGGAACTAGGGACGACGAAGGAAATTGGGGTAGTGTCGTCCGAAATTTGATTGATGGGGTAGTAGCAGCTATATTCAGATTGGAGAGAAGATATGTCGGTTGGATAATTTTCGCCGAGATCCAAACTAGATCTCATTGTCGATTTTGCGTTTTCCATTTTTGCGTTTGCGTTTCTTATGTCTTCTCTTGCCAAAGGTTGGTTTACGTCTGCCGCCTATTCGTTTAATTTTTGTGGATTTATGCTTCTTTTTTCCTCTTCCACTAATCTTTCTTCGTTTTCCAGGTTTAGTGTTTGCTCGAATTGGTACGTCATAGTCTCCAGGTTGAAAATTTAGTCCTCCTCGGCCGGCCCGACTGCGTACACTTTACTTTTCTCATATTGTTTTTTTGAAATGGAGTTTAATCATTGAAGGTCTTAGAGAAGGCGGGAGTGGTTCGAGATTTCTGTCTACAATTTGTATGTGGATCCATTCAACTTGTTGCCTCTTTGGAGTCAGATAGGTAACTGGATCGAATACTCTATAGACACGCTGTCTTGTTGGATCGCGATTGAGCACGGCTATGGCGGGGACCAATTTTCCTCCAACAAGCTGAGGTTGAACAATATCGCACAATATGTATACAAAACTGTTATCGTCTCTATCTGGACAAATAATATCTGCGGAAGGCGTCCCCGGTGAAAAGTTTTGAATGGGAATTACAATGTTGGTGGATTTTACAAAAACAAAATCTTTCTCCAGGCCAAATAACAAATTGATTTCCTCGGACAACTTTAATTTTATGTCGCCTTCGTAGAACGTGACGTCCAGAAATATTGAGTCGTTCACTTGTTCATGTACAAATCCAATTTTGACCTTGGTGGGAGTTATTGCATTTATAATTGCTGATAACAACTCGTCAAAGTCTTTGTCTGTTGTCGGGGCAGTTACAACAGCATTTTGTTCCCAGCGATTTTCGGTTATTATCAGCTTCAGAGGAACCCCTGGGTCTACATAGCATCCCTCCATTCGAACTGGTTTGCCAGTATAGGTCCCAGTTGGGAAATCTGTCGTATCAAAGCCAATGCATTTTGCGAATTCTTGTGGGAGTCTGATAAACCTATCAGGTATGTTTTGTTTGATTTTTATATGAAAAGTTTCTTGATCAGTAAATGCCATTTCTAGAAGGAACTTGATTCCCAGCCGTATGTTTAGCTCGTTTATCAATTCGATCAGTTTTATAATATTTAAAATTTTGTCACTTTCATAATTCAATGTCTCGATCAACAAAATTCGATAAACTGTTATGTCCTGGGTGCCAAAGCCGGTAGTGAGGGCAAGTTTGGGCTTTTTTGCCTCGACAGGTTTAGGATCGTAGGCTGGACAATCGAAAAATATCTCGGATAGGCCAAATTGAATTAACCCAGTTCTAAATTCTATCAGTCCGTTTATTAAGTTTCTAAAATCTGTCGAGGTGTTGCCTGGGAACCAGAAGCACTGTTCGTCTGAGATGATTGTGACAGAAAAACTGTCTGGCAGATGATCGACTGATTCCATCTATTATTCTACACTTTTTATCAAAATTCATTGTTAACACGGTTTCTTGTGTAATGACCTCAAATTTTGCCGAAGTAGCCCCCCTAATAAAATTTGAGCGTCTCTGCCCCCCAAATCTTCTGATATTGCAATAGTTGAACTTTTCACGATGCCTAAGCTACATAAATTGCAAGTTATAGTATACGGATAGAGATCTAATCTTTTTGACATATGATGATGATGGGTGACCTTGTCAGAAGGTCCTTTAAATTGCGCCCAACAAATCTCACAACGTTCTGCTTTTGCCAACTTTTCAGCTAGTTCATCACTTTTCTCATAGGGAATAAAAGTATTTTGTACCTTTTCGTGTAGTTCATTTACTTTTGTGATGAACGTAGAAACAGTCTTCGAGCGCGTACTCCGAAGTATGAAATCTTTCAAACTTCAATTTATTGTCATAGTCAGCATTGCCATATAATATGAATGAATCGATTGATTCCCAAATTCTGATGTGTACACAAGTTCTCGGGTATTTTGAGTTGGTTCTGAAATAGTTTTTCGTTCCAACAATCTAAAAAAAATTCTATACATATGAGGCAAGTATGCCTTTAAATTTTTGAAAACGTAAAATTTTTCCCTGGGAAACGTCATTACAGGATTTATGCTTTTCAAACATGTCTTTTTGTGCTTGTCAGAACCCATGGTCATTCTATAAAAACAGAATGGGCAAATTTCACAACGCTTATATCTACATTTTGCACTCAAGCATCCTATGTCAGAAATTAAACAATAATGGTGGTTATTTCCCTCCGAAAGTAACAAAAGTTGAATAATTTGGCTCCCCTCCTTATTATTGCTTATATATACGGGACAAATCTGCTTCTTTTTATATTCAAATAAATTGATAGAAATGCTTGGATTTATCAATTCAAACTTAGGAAAATCCTGAGCTGCCACCTCGTTCTCGAACCCCAGAAAATTAATTTGATTTGATTTCATTACGTGGTTGAGAAATTTCAAATAAGTTTTCGGATTTTCGTACATGCGAAGAAGTCTTTTGCGATGATTAAATGTTAAATCCTCCCATTTAAAATCATATTGTAGGAATTCTGGGAGTTTAATTTTATCTTTGAAGACCGCTAATAAAATACAAAACATGAAACACCGTGTCTCAGTCTTAATTGAAATTATTCCCTTGCGCTTTAGTTCTTTCGGAAGCGGAACGTACGAGCCCCCAAATCGTTGCAAGTCTGGTTTATAAGGTAGCATTCTAAGCTCCATAGAATGTATCGTTTTAAGTCTAAAACCCCTTCCGTTGGCTTCATATAAGCTAAGGCTTAATTCTAAATAATGCCTTGCTTCTCGTAGCTTATCCTGAATGAACGACTTGTGCAGGTATAAAATATATGGCCCTATAAATTTACGCTCGAGAAGAGTTTTGTCGCTAACTTTTTCTAACGTAGTGTAAAACGAAATTGAAACATTCAGACCAACGTGTTTATCTATTTGATTCTCTAACAGTGCATGCAAATCTGTGTCTGCACTTTTAAAAGCGTCAGTGAATGTTTCAATCGTGTCAGCTATTTCTGCCAAATATGTTACAGCTGTTTGGTCATGCGCCATCTTTGTAATCTTGAATGCACCAACGTCGACAGTCTGAATCTCACCGTTTGTTAAATTTGATGGGCCTGCTCCTACCTGAATTGGACACTTGTGCTTACCGATTTCAAATCTAGTCCCACAGCGACTACAATTATGCAGACATAAGTGTCGCTGCACTTCAGAATAAAGGTAAAATTTTTTTCCCTTGCATCCCTTATAGCCACAGATATATCTTCTAAGCACAGGCCTCTTTCTATTTTTTGGATCGCTGGATAACCAAATCTCAGTTCTTATCTCCCTAGGCATATTAATTCGTGAAGATGGTCCCACAATTCAATTGGTACAATTCCAGTTAACTTTGAAACTATTTTTAACCACCTAGTATAAACTATATTTCCACAGGACTTGCAAAGCGTGTTTAAAAATTCACACCTTTCGTTGTGAGTGCGGAAAGGAAATTTGGGGGTAAATTTTCGATCACACATTGGGCAAGTAGACTTCATTTTTAAAACATTATTCCGACAGTTCCACGAATTTTATCCACACAGTCGGAACATAATGGGTAGTTGATAAAATAAAAAATCCTCTCGTGTAACTTCTTTTGGCGTGTTTATCAATTTTCAGTACAGATAACTGGAATGGCCAAATTTTTTGCTAAATTTTTTTTTCAAAAGGTTTCTCAATCATTGAAATTAACTGAGCTAAATATGGCGTGCTCATATTAACGAAACAGTGAATACAGCTATTGCAACGATAGGTAAATTTGTCAAACTTTGCCTTTACGACAAACATGACAAATTGTCACGCCACAATTCAAACAGTGGTACTCTTGGTGATTTGACACGGACATATTACTGGGGCTAAGTTTTTTCTATACCAGAGACCCGTCGGTGAGTAGCTAATTATTTGAGAATTAGCAATTGCTGAAATCTCCTGACGGGTCAACGAGGAATAATCTTGGGTTAAATACTTTTTAATCATCTGACATACATACCAACGATTGGGAAATAAATAATCTAAACTAGCTTGCTCACTAGCTACTAACTGAATTCCTGGCTTTGATAGGGTCAACAAATTTTTCTAAAAACTATATAACCTACAGTCGTAACATATACCTAGAACTATGTCGTCGCAAAAACCACAATGAATTGCATCCCCACACTGATAACATACGCAAACGCTTATTGTCATATTAAATTTTACAACTGCATTTTTTGGGCATACAATTATCTCGATACCACGAGCCAAACCCAGAAAAACTGATTAAAAACGAATGGGCAATAGATAGAATTTCAGATTTTGCTAAAGTATAATAACTCTCAGTTAGATACTTTAAAACTACTGGACATTCGTACTATTTGAATGGATAGTTTTCTGATAAGCTAGCTCGTCTACCTGCTTCTAACTTTATATCTATCTTGGAGTGTCTTAACAGGGCTTTATAAAAAATGTCAGACGCGCAGTCGTAACAATATTCTTGGTTTTTATTGCAACACAAATCTGCTGCACATGAACTACACGACATTTTCAACTAAACTCAAATCGATTTCCTGAATCATTTTATCTCCTAAATCATCAAATTCTTCTTCCAAAGCTTTGAGCTTTGATTGAAATTCCTTAAAACCTCTATAAAACGATTGATTCGTAAATCTGTCGTAACTAATTGGTCCTATAAACATTAAATGTTTCAGAGATCTAACTCTAGTAATTGCAACGAGTGAATAAGGCAAAAAGTGTTCTTCTTCAGATAAAAATATTGTGGCCAGATCTAAAGTGGAACCTTGAGACAGGTGGCAAGTTAGCCCACTACAGTTTTGCAATGGAAAGCGGCGTACAGAAACGCGTCTATTGGCGTATTCAACGTAGACTGATTCAGAGATTGGAAATATTGGAACGGACTGCTCTTCTACGACGTCTCCAGTGTAATTGTCAAACCGACAAAAAATACAGATTGGGAAATCTATATTTGGAGTATGGTTAGCCTTGTACAAAACGTCAACCACTGTTCCAATACTTCCGGATACTAGGTTGTGTTTAACCAATAAATTTGCAGTCAGCCTAACTCTACAATTTTTTGCGATATATAATGGTTCCTCTACTAGCATTGGCGACTTGGGTCGCTGTGAGACAGGGATTCTAATTATTGGCTCTGGTTGGGCCTCGAGTTGTTTCAAATTAAATTCTGCAGCCTGCTTTCGAAGAGGAAATATGTGCACCGAGTGCTGCGCAAATTTTTCAATTTCCTCAGTTGATAAATTACTAATATGCCTAGTTGCTAAAATGTTGTAGCTTTCAAGTGTGAGCTTCTTTAACCTGATTTCCTCAATTATTGTTTGGAATTCTAAGTCATCTTGTTGCCTAATATTATCTTTTAATCTAAACTGATCAAAGGATTTGAAGATTCTACAACCTTCACTACTAAATGGATCTGTGGGGTTGTCGATCAAACTAATTCCCAAAGAATGGAATTGCCAAGCGTCACCACATGCAAATACGGACAAGCCCCCAAATAGTTTATCATTACCTAACAATATTTGCAAACGTTGATTTATAAAATTAAATGTAACTGCATCTACACATAATATCTCATCTATTAAAAGAAATCGTAAACCAGCAACTCGTTCCTTTAGTTGCTTTGAAACGGGAGAATGTAGCAAGCGTTCTAGATTATATGCTTTAAAAGGAAGTGAGAAAAAAGAAGCTATGGTTTGACCTTGACAGTTCGCAGCAACAATCCCGGTGGATGCCACAACTTGGTATTTAACACTTTTTCTTTCTAAATAGTCACACACACTACGGAGAACCAGGCTCTTTCCCGTTCCAGGGTTTCCTTGGACTGTTAACAGCAGTTGCTTATCGTCCTTTATCGATTGTTTCACTTTCCCTACAATCTCTTCTTGCCCCGGCGTCAGGGTAACCCTAGACTGGAAAAGCTGGGGTGTCTTGATAACTTATTGTTTCCAAATTTGAGAAATAAACTCACTATATTCTTTGTCACTTTTTGTAAAACGCTGTCGAACATTTAGGTTATACATTTGAGGCTTGAAAGGCACTGCCTGTGCTGTGCTTCGTGCTTTTATTCGAAAACCAGGAATTTTCTAAAATTCTCATTCCTCTACCAAATTCCGCAATGTGTGCATCACCACGACCAAATTCCGGAATGCATAGAGGAATTTCCAACCTGTGTATATAATGGACAACGGGCGTCAGTCGTCCAGCACTCAGCTACAGCAGCTCAGTACAGCCTTAATACACACACTTAAAAATACTTGAAAGAAACATGTCTAAGCGACCAGCGTCTGCAAAAGATAGTTTACTGGCCAAGAAGGCTCAGTGTTTGATTGACGACGACGTTTTAGATCTATCTCCAGATATTAATAGCGATTTGAGCGAATTTTTACACAGCCTGCTAAATACGGACGACCCTGAACCAGTAACAACTCTTAATCCAGGTTTCTTCGAAGACCCTAAAGCGGTCCATGTGAGAGATATTAGCATACGTACACAGTTCGACGAGGATTTGTGCGTACATTTTGTACATTTGGAGAAAAGGATACTCGCAAAACGAACGGGTATCGTATTTGCCAAAACGCAAATGAAAGTAAGCATTTTTGAACATTTTGATTTGTTAAAGTTTTAGCTCTATACTTTTCATTTTTTGAACCAGATGACCGCACCTGAGATGAGCGAAATTTGCAAGGCACTCACTACCCTGATTGATGAGATTAAACATACCCCTTCAGGAAAACCACTCAAGCGATTTGAAGGGAATCCACTGGCAGAACCGATTTGACAAGTTTTTTGACCCCAGTCTATGCATTTCACTCAGTGAAGGGTAAGCGAAGCAACTTTATATAGAAAGTATTTATAAATTACAAAAGGGCTTACTTTTTTCTAGAAAACTGTTGGTTCGTCCATTTCTTTCACCTAGGAGTGTCTGGAACCTAAAGGTATTTCAACCCATTGGTAACTTTCCACGGGGAAAGTTGTTAACTTTAGGTATAGGCGAGGCGCTTGACCTGGTGAGCCATTTTTAGATTTCAAAATGTTCAGTTTGAAATTATCATTTTTAAGTGTGCACTACTTTTTAGGTTTCTGTAATGGAGAATCTCATACTCCAAATTGATTTGTTTGAATGCGAAAGGATCCTCGACTTGGATGCTGTTGAAGTTTTAAATTGAGTTTTGCAATTTTTTGCATTTTTATTTTTTGCACATTTGTTGGTTTTAACAAGTCTCTGTTGTTTACCGATCTCTTTTAACTCAATTTTAATTTGTTTCACAATAAACTTTTTTATAAGTTGAAATCCCAGCTCTGCTGGTTAGTGGCACATTTTGGCACTATACATACTACTCACATACAAATACTGGCGTACACTCACATACTACATCAGCGTGCATACTTATATATGTAGAGTCTCGTTTGTTACCTCATTCTCTCTCCCTCACAACCACGCTTTCCATCTGGTTAAATTTTCTGCAAATTCTCTACTAAACGAAGAATTTGAATCTTGCATATGTGCATACTTGGTTTTTGTGAAGAATTCAATTCTTCACCTCTGGCTGCATTCTCCACCCTCCATTTTTCAAAACAAGAATTTAAGCATCATATCACGGTATATGCAAACATAAGTGCTTTTTTACTTACACTCCACTATTCGCACGAAACTTGATGTAATGTAGGTAATTAATTAATATAACGACTAAAAATTTGACAATTTGTCGTTTTTTCAATTTTCTGATTTGTTTGTGTTGTTTGTTATAGGCAATGATCGGCTGACTGTGCTGTCTGCGCGTTCTCACCACCAGCGGCGGAACTCACTCAACATGTTGGAGCCTCCGTCTGTGGCGAGATGGCGGGGGGAGCGCTAAAGAGAGATTACGCTGCACACATCCCAGTATTTTACGTACGTACGTAAAATCAACGTTTGGGTTGGGGCATGCAAATTATTGCAAATTTTATTTTAATGCCAAAAAATTATTATATTTCTTGGTACACTATAAGCAGTATGCAATTATTAGTAAAAATGCGAAATAGTAAAAATGGCTGGACGACCCCCGGGAAAGTGAGATGGAAGCTTTTCTGATGGGTGAGATGGAAGCGTTTTTGTCTGTTGGTTCTCCTGTCACCAGTGGAGAGCTAAAGAGTACCAAATTTCGTGCTTACGATTATGATAAGCACTTCCAAAGTGCAAAATATGTAGTGAAACTATGATATGCAATGTTCCAATATGAAATTGAGATATGCAAAATATTCATGCAGGGCCTCTAATATACAGCATGAATGGCGCCTGAAATGATGAAAATAATTTTTTTGGTTTCATATTTAGAGGAATTTTATTTCAAAAGTGAAAATTTAAAAAATTTTGTCATGGAATGAAATGGGGGCAAAATGAGATATATTTAGCCTGTTCGTGCGATTTTGTTTGGAGGGGAGCCGGCGCACAGGAAGCGCTGAATTGCCGCACGCAAACGCTCGATGACCCCATCTTTCTCGGTGAGCTGATCCTAAAATTTAAAAAAATGTTTTGAAATTCTGGTTGTCATAAATTTTCATAACTACAAATTTCTTCAAACTACAAACTTACCTCTAGTTGGGTGATCTTCACTTTGAGGGATGAAATCTCGTCCACATTCTTGGACAAAGTGACCACCATGTCAATCAAGGCCTTCTGTGCATTACACAGAGGCAGAGTGACAGACCTGGGGTCACCAGTTAGGTCAATGGCTGAAGAAAACAGTGGTGTCGCCAAAGAATCCCCAAAGGGGGCCTGGCGAGAGGTCGACGGGACCGGGCCGGGGGGAGTTGCAACTGGAGGGGGACTTGGCTGGGGCCTTTGCTCGGCCAAGTCCAGCAAGTCATAAATTGACATAAGGTCTAAAGCTTGCGAGTTCTCCATGGTGATGATCAAATGATGGAGGTCAAATGAAGACTGACGAACAGTGAGGAGACGAGGAGAAGGGGTTTCGAAATTCCAGTAGCCCGTTTAGAATTTTTGCAACATTCCACCCGGCGAAAAGAATTTTGCCACTAAAGGCACCTGGTATTAAAAACCAATCCCCCCTAGTCGCAGACCAGATCGCAGTCGCAGATCCAAGATGGGTGTAGAATTCTTCTCTGGTACTCGACCCCACGTATTCCCTCTTGAAACTCAAGTCATAATTCCCTACAGCAATTATACGTGGATTATTGTGGGGTTTATCCCTCAGACAAAATCATTCATTGGTTATTCTCCGCTCTATATAGTAAAATTGGGAATTCCATATTTCGAAAAAATTATAAGTGTTGTTCCAGAAAGTGACTTAATTCTCGAAATTGACGCTACCGAGTTAAGGCTAAACCAGCCATTCCTTTTAATTGATAATATTGTGAATCAATATTTGTACGAAGGGAGATATATAACTCCACTCGGGGAATACATTTATTACGACCAGATTACTGTTCGTCTTAACCAGATTCGAAAAGACCTGAGCGAGAGTGGTGAAGAAATAAATTATTTCAACGTTGGTGAAAATGAATTTGAAGATATAAGCGAATATTCAAGTGCAGAAAGCGACATCGAACCTGAAGAAAGATACAGTGATGACACAGGGTACGACAGTCTGTCCGATCTTGTGACAGAAAGTGATGACGAATATGTGGACTTTGGGATAGACGTGAATGATTCAGAGAGTGATACCGACTCCAATTTTAGCACGGAGACTCTTCCAGCACCAGCGAGGCGACACAGAGTCTAGGGTAATTAATTTTAATTTACTGTTTACTTTAAATTTATTCCTACTTCAATTCTTAATCATACTTCCATCTCACAGCATCTCATTTGCCAAAATGCAAATTTTAATTTTTGCATTGATTTTAGGGACGGCTTGTGGGTGTAACTTAGAGTGGGGTGCCAGCATTGCATTACTTCCGGCTGCATTTATGCAACCCAATTCGACAGTGATAACATTTGCCTGTCAAAGTCAAAATTAAAACAATTTCAAATTCAGCGAGTAGTCAGATCAACCTCACAATGCCAGAGTGAGTTGCTCATGACATACATACATACAATAATAATAATATTTATTTTTTAGATGTTGCCCAACCCACCACGACCGCGAGCCCCACCTTTCCCACCACGACCACAGGTCCACCGGCCAAGACCACCGAGGCGACAACGACGAATACCACTCCGCGACATCATACAAATTTCGTCTACTATCCGACCACTGCGGCCCCCACGGTCCCAACAGTTCAGGAGAAACTTCCCCCAACCGGGCTGCCCCCACCAGATTATCACCACCACCAGCATTCGTCGACTGAGGTCGTTCGTGGGGGCGCCACCAATGTCCCTCCCACCCTACCCTTTGAGCATGGAATGGAGCGACCCAGTCCAGCTACGGCCCCGCCGTCCTTGCCCTCGGAAGCGCCGGCGCCCTACAACCAGAAGGCTGTCGTCCATGAAAAGGTCAAAGAAGCGTCCCCTGATAAAACGACGACCAAGAACAGTGCAAATCATGACAACGATCTGGTAAGCTGCGCTGAATCAACAGCAAACAAAATTAGACGTTCATTTTGTCGGATCGCAATTTTGTCACGAAAGCTACCTTCATTTAGTAGGTTCAAAAATATGACCAACATTATGGCTACAAAGCAGCAACATTGTGAATACATTATTGCTAAATACAAAATGTGCAAAATCAAAAAAAATTAATATGATTTCTGTATGTATCATGCCTTTGGTAAATATTTTTGTGCTGAAATAAATTTTGTAAACATTGTAAATATATTTCAAGCATGCATTTATTATATTTCAAATCAAAGAATCAAAGAAACGACTCGAACTCCACTTCATCATCCAAACGTATCTCTTCATACGAACTGGTTGTCTCAATCTGCCTCCTTCTCTTCCTCAAAAATATTCCTGCTACGAGTAGCAGCAGGAGAAGCATAACTCCAACACCTGGAACAAAGTACAAAAATGATTCCCTTATGCCACACATGAAATTTGTTGAGGTCATTGTCACTCATTTAAAAACAAAAACTCATTTATATGCACACTTACATAGGAACAAAGGCCAGAGATGCTCCCCTCCTTCCTGATTAGCAGGTCTTTCGGGACACATGGCCACCGTGTCTACAATCTGTTCAATCCACACACTCGTTGGCAATATGTCAACGCAGGAATTTGTATGATTTTCAAAAATAATCCAGTATTTTTTATGCTCAATTTCAAGACAACTCTGGCACGACATGGCGAACAAATGACTCACATCACGTCCGTAAGATCCGTTATGTTAAGTTAACATAAACAAAAGTCTCACATTACAGATGCTTGTAAATCTTATTCCAGAAATGCTCAAAGAGCGACCAACATGACATATGCTAACCCATCACAGAACACACGATGTACGTACCCACCATCCTCACACAACTCAGCGTCAGCAGCTGACCCGGGTTTTCATTCTCACTCGCTCGCTCTCACTCTCTCGCTTCCCTTCCACCGCCACCACCAACAACCGGTTTCCACACTCTCTCGCTCCTTCTCTCCCTTCCACCACCACCACCAACAACCGGTTTCCACACTCTCTCGCTCCTTCTCTCCCTTCCACCACCACCACCAACAACCGGTTTCCACACTCTCTCGCTCCTTCTCTCCCTTCCACCACCACCACCACCAACAACAACTCACGCATCCTCCCATCCCTCCGCTCCGCCACAACTTATCAAACCACTTATCAAACCACTCCCACAGTCGCTGTAACCTTTGACATGTCAAAGGAAAAGCGGCAAATAATTGCATATAGATACCTACTGACATTTTTCAACGCGACGATTTCCTACAAGACGTCGGAAGACTGCCGGCTCTCAAATCGCTCGTAATTGGAACGATACTTTGGAAATCGAGATCTGTCGAGGAAATTTTAGAAATTATGATTGAAAAGAGGATGATTTGGGGGAACATTACGCATTTGGCACTTTTCGAGATACGTAATCCCACACTTTTGGAGGGATTGAAGACAGCATTTCCGAATTTGAAGGTCTTCGAGGTTTACACGTGTGGTGAAGAGGACTCTCGTGAAGAGATGAGTGGGATGGAGTTGGGCGTCGTGCTCAAAGCTTGCGGTGGGGGTTTGGGGGCCCTGAAACATTTGTATATTGAAGTGCCATCTTATCCAAGAGAAATTCAGGTTATCATTCATGCTCTGTTGGAAGTAAAGGAGATGCTTAAA